TGATGATGATAACGATTATGATATTTTGGATAATGACTGATTTTCATTTTTGTTGGCAAGTTTAATTTTTTTTATTTTTCATTTGAAATTCTCTACATGGAACAAATTTTTCTGTTAGAAAATATTTTAGTTGAGCTAAATAACCCTCTTATTATACAAAGACCATATTTTCTGTGTGAAGTGTAATATAAAATTATTATTTGGTTTATAATAGCCACATTAGAATCCATTAATGAAGAAGTTTAATTCTGCTCTCAATTATACAAAATTATTATTTAATTAAAAAGTTGTACATTATTTTTCATTTTATTTAACCAGTTGATATTTCCCCAAAGAACAGGTCAAACTTTCGGCTACTTACCTGGAAATACTCATAAAATGTTTAATCCGAAAAACGCATAAGTATAGCGAACAGACTGTAGTCGATTATTTTTTTAGTGCGATCGTAGCGCGCGCGAGTCGAGGCACTCCCATCGCTGTGCAGGACCGTACCTGTTTAAAATTTTTAATTAGTTTTTAATTATTTTTATTTTAAATATTTTGGAAAAACGAAATCTACGAATTGGTCTCAAATTATGCGAACTACCACCCCTACAAATTTGAGCGCCAAGTTCGGAAACACCCTGTATTTACCTATATCAAAAACTGGCTCCTAACAAAGTTACAGGGCGTTAAACTAACATTCAAAGAAACGTTTTTTTTTTGTTGCTGCGATATTTTTTTTGAATTTTTTTGCCAGTGTTTTAGATTTATAGGCCCAATATTCTAAGGAGAAAAAAAAATTAAAGTAACCCCCTTAAAAAACGTTGGGGGGATGGGTACCTTTTAACTCCCCCGTATTTTTTTTGACATAAGAAAACTTGCTTTATCGACCTTAAAATCAAAAAGAACTATGAATTTTTAATTTTTTTTTTATAGCGAAATAAACTTTGTATCTTTCTTAGTTAACGAGCTATTTACAACTTTCTAACTGAATTTCTAGAGCAATTCATCTGTCCTAGACTTACTTATCAACAAAACTAAGAGTAGGTCAGGAGTTATTCTACAAAAAACGCATTCAAAAATCAGTGGTGTACCTAGGGATGTGCTTGAGCCGCCCCTGCAGAAACTACCTCTTTTATTTATATTATTATGTATACTTTGAAACACACTGCATTTTTAAATACTACAGTCACTATTAACCAAAAATAACCACAACTTTTTACTGTAATAGATAATATAGAAGGCTAATCAAACAGGGTAGGTAATATTGGGAACTGATCAACATACTAACTGCTACTGCCTATCTTATCTTCATACCATATCCTAGGTAGGTTATAATCCCACCCCCTTGTTATTATTTTGGTTTTTCCATGGAATAAGTAATCTCCAAGAAGATAATAAAATAACAATTAACCCTTAGATTATAGATTTCTATAATCTTAGGATTTATACCATTTACATTTTTAATACAATTATAGTCACATTTATAGATTTTAAACTCTCAGATTACTTTCTATAATCTAAGCTGAAACCTTTTTCTCCACTTGTCATTAACTTTCCCCTTGAAATCAAAAATGTCCAAGAAGTCAATGATGAATAACGATTTAAACAATTTAATAGCCAAATTTATAGGTCTTAAAAAATATTTGTTATATACCTTGTTAATTTATTCAAACAGATAACTCTACCATTTACATAAAAATTGCAAATAACTCAAAAAACATTTTGTAAAGTACCTACATACCAAAATAATACTCAATAATACATATACAAAAAAAATATATTTTTAAATGATGATTTTATGTACCCCGTAAATAATAATATAGGCACCCACACCTGATATTTGCTAATCTGACAGATTTATAAGTCCGTGTCGATTACAATTCTACTGTAAATTAGGAAATAATAATTATAAAATTTTTCACAATTTCGATAGTAGTTACTAAGTAATATAACTTTTGTTCTAAGTCATTTAGATAAAAATAATATTATTAATTATTAGACCACTAAAATTTTTTATTTGAACGAAATTAATTTTATATAAATTAATTTTACCATGCGTGTATAATTTATCAAATATACGACAAGGTTATATTATTTTTTGTAGATATTATTCCTAAGCGAATTTGTACATGATGATACCTATATAAAACGCAACAATAAAATCCTCATGTTTCATCAATACTAACATTATGAAATATTTTTTCAAAGATTATCAATGGAAAAATATTATCGATTAAACATTGCCCTATATTCTGCCCTTGGTCTATCGACCCTTATATTTCGTTCCTGTCACTGGTTTCTCTTTCTTTCGTTACTACATTCCTTCAGGACGTGTAGGTTTGAGAAGGGCAGCTTTAATAGAACATACAAGCCGTATCCTAGGACTCCTGGAACGATATTTTAATATTTTTTTATATTTTCACAATTTTAAATCCGAAAAATTGAATTATACTCTGAGTTTTATGATTTTCTTATATACGATGCAGATTTTTTTCAGATAATTTCGATTTTCCTATAGTCCTCTACCTCCACTGTTTTTACTTAGTAACTACTATCGAAATTGTGAAAAATTTTATAATTATTTCGTAATTTATAGTAGAATTGTAATCGATACGGACTAATAAATTTGTCAGGAAATATCAGGTGTGAGTGCCTATATTATTATTTACGGGGTACATAAAATCATCATTTAAAAATATATTTTTTTGAATATGTATTATTGAGTATTATTTTGGTATGTAGGTACTTTACAAAATGTTTTTTGAGTTATTTGCAATTGTTATGTAAATGGTAGAGTTATCTGTTTGAGTAAATTAATAAGGTATATAACAAATATTTTTCAAGACCTATAAATTTGGCTAATAAATTGTTTAAATCGTTATTCATCATTGACTTCTTCACGGAAAAAATGTGACTAGAAAATTTTACAACAATGTTGTTGTAGTAGACTTGTAGAAAAATACTTAACTTTTTGTAGAAAATTTTATTACAATTTATAGTTAAAAACTATTCATTATTGTAGCAATTGAATTGTCGAATAAAATGCTACAACAATAGGAAAGAAGTCCACAATGTTTAGTATATTTTACTATTGTTTGTAGAAGTAGAAATTTATTACAATTATCGTAATTACTACTACTAACTTCTGTAAAAATTTGTACAAATATTAATAATTATCTCTACAAAAAATAGTAATTTTCTCTACAAAAAATAGTAATACTTTACATCCCTTCTTATGAAAAAAATTCAATTTTGTTCAAAAATATTCTATAATATTGTAGAAATTCTAAGTCATGTGAATAAAACAGAATTCTGCTATTGGCCAACGTTTTCTGACGTCGATCATAAATGGCCAGTCAGCAGTAGCCGTTCGCCATGTTCACAAAACAAAGCATGGTACATATACGAGTACCTATAACACATTATTATATTATAAGCACCGATGCGTTTGAGAAAATTTTAATAATAACTTCTATTAGTGGTAAGTACATTAATTATTGTTTCTAAATAATTTACCTTTAAATAACTAATTTAAATAACCTTAGTAGATTATTTAAAAAAAAAAATAGTTGTGGTCAACGATCGAATGTTGTGCCCAACGATCGAATGTTGTGCCAAGTTCAATGATGTTTTTTTTTGTCTTAATTGTGACATACCTACTTTCTCATTTTTGTTAGTTATCTGACTTAGTCATTTAATATCCAAATCGGTGTAAAGGTGATAAATATCCCCGTTTTAAGGGTATGAACAGTTCAATAGGTATTAATTTTTATTTCATATTTTTCAGGTGCAGAAAAGCCAACTGAGACTGAGGGCGCTATTATTACTGTTATTTATTACATAATGTAATTAATACTTTTTATCTTTTATATTAAAACAATAAATTAAATATATTTAAGGAACATTTTTTCTAGGTTATAATTATAATAATTATAAAATACTACGACAAATTTTATTAAAAATTACTACAATTTGTATGAATTTTTACTATTTATTGTGTAAAATTTTCCTATTTATTTTCATAAAACGCAATACATTTTTAATATAAATTCATACAATGAATAGCAAAAATTATAACAATTTGTAGAACAATTCTTATTATGCACTTGGATATTTTTACTAAATAATGTAGATAATAACTCTACAATACATTCTCTACAAATATTTGGAAATTTTTACTACAAATTGTCCCTGTCCCTGTATGTACTATTTATTGTAGAGAAAAAATGTATAATTGTAGAAATTTGTTCTACAATTTTTTTGTGTTGGACATTTTTGATTTCAAGGTGAAAGTCAATGACAAGTGGAGAGAAAGGTTTCAGCTTAAATTATAGAAAGTAATCTGAGAGTTCAAAATCTATAAATGTGACTATAATTGTATTAAAAATGTAAATGGCATAAATCCTAAGATTATAGAAATCTATAATCTTAGGGTTAATTGTTATTTTATTATCTTCTTGAAGATTACTTATGTCATGGAAAAACCGAAATGATAACAAGGGGGTGGGATTATAAGATGGTTACCTACCTAGGATATGATATAAAGATAAGATAGGCAGTAGCAGTTAGTATCTTGATCAGTTCCCAATATTACGTACCCTGTTTGATTAGCTTTGTATATTATCTATTACAGTAAAAGGTTGTGGTTATTGTTGGTTAATATTGACTGTAGTACTTAAAAATGCAGTGTGGTTCAAAGTATACATAATAATATAAATAAAAGAGGTAGTCTCTGCAGGGGCGGCTCAAACACAGCCCTAGGTACACCACTGATTTTTATATTCGTTTTTTGTACAATAACTCCTGACCTACTTTTAGTTTTGTTGATAAGTTAAGTCTAGGACGGACTCTGTAGGTTCTTGTTATTATCATCATATACTTAGATCTCTATCTCTCCCGCTCAAAGCCTTCTCCCTCGTATAAATAAATAACTTCAAAATAAATACGCATTAAATTATTTCATTTTTTAATCGACTTGATAATAGATGCGATTTTTAATTTAAACTTTTTTTCAGTGTATGATACTTCTTTAGAAGATGCTATAAAAGGCGACGAAACTGGAACTTTGCAAAGATTGCTGGTCTCTCTTTCAACTGTAAGTACAATATAATATAATACACAAATTGTCATCTAACAGTGTGAAAGTTTTCTAGTGGCAAAGAATGTTGTACAAGAAGTGTTTTTGGATTCATGATAAAAATGTCAACCCAATATAATTTTTTATATAAAATTCGTATAGCGAATAAAGTGTATTATAAAAAAGTATGTTGGTCTAACAATTATTCTCGAATTTTACAGTGTGTCCACATATAGAACTCAAAATCGATATTATTAATTTCGAAAAAAATAAGATTACCATATTAAAATGGTGAAAATGGTTAATAAATTAATAAAACATAAAAATATTTCAAGAGAGAAGTACCTACCTGCTTTTTTGAAACTAGTCTTTTAAATCTAGGCTGTGTATTTGCAACACACATGTTAGTTTTACTCAATGTCTTTTATTATTTTGTAAAAACATTTACACATAAATACATATTCAGTTATTAAAAATAGACAAATTTTATGATTTCATCCAATAAGAACTTAATATCCCAACCAATCATTGACTTTTATAATAATTGAACCGCTTCTTCTTTCTTTTACTGTTAACCTTTTGACAACTATTCATAATCTAACAACTTTTATTAAACTAAAATGTACCTCAAATCTATGTTAATACTCAAATTTGAAAGCTATTGTTTAATTTTACTGCACAAAATTAAAATAGGTATTATTTATAATTATTGAATCTGACCTGTTTTTGTGTAGGTATAATAAATCACTTAGGTATAACAAACATAAAACTGTCTCGCTTAAACACTCAATTTATATCCAGTAAACATCATTTTTTAAATACTTAGTTCTTAATTAGCTAAATTAAGCAGATCCTGTTCCATTTTATGGTTTAAGAAACGGAAATCACAATAAAAACTTAAAATTTGGCAAATGTTAAACGCCCGAAAGGAAATTAATTTACTTTATGTCGCCGCGGTTTTGCTCATTCTCTGTACTTCCAAATGTTGCAGTAAGACATTGTGGCCATATTCTTTTTTTTAACTACGACATGCCAAGATAGTAGATGTTTGTAGTTTTAAAACGCGTTTCGCTTTTTGTTAATGGATGACGAAAATTATCTTGTTTTCTGTAAAAAGTGGATATAAAGTGGTTATAATATTAAAATGATTCAAAAAATAATCTTTTAAATACAACTGGTGCTTTTAAATTTTATCTATTCAATTTGGAGGATTACATTTACGTATCCAAAACTAACATACAGGTGGCCCAATACTTTAATATTTTGAAAATTCAATTGAAGAAAAACTTTTTTCTTACTTTTAAAAGGGCATAGTGTAATAAGAAAGACTGCGTAGTTGTAATCTAGGAATTCTTGGTAAAAATATATTTTTTGAATATTTGGCTGTCATTTGGTTACTAATCATTCCAAGAATTACTTTTCAAGATATGGATGATTATTGTTTAAAAATGTAGTTGTTTTTAAGAAAAAACAAACACAATTTTTTAACTTTAAGACTGTTTGCCCCATTTTTGTCTCCTTAATCACCTGTAAAAATTATGCACCCTGTGGATATATATTGTATAATGACGCATTTTGCTTGTTTTCTAGGGTGGTAGAGACGAATCAAGCCAAGTTGACAGGGATGGCGCTATTGCAGATGCACAAAACCTTTATGATGCAGGAGAATCCTCTTGGGGCACCGAAGAATCCGTTTTCAATTCTATTCTTTGTATTAGAAATAGAAATCAATTGAGACTCATATTCGATGAATACGAAACTATGATCGGACATTCAATTGAAGATGCCATCGAAAATGAATTTTCAGGTAAACAAAAAAAAAACATTTTCTTAAACTGCAACATAATAATAATTATACACATAGACTCCGTCCAAAATTTAATGGGACGGTTAAGGAATGGTATAGAGAATTTAATGCTAAACTCGGATCTGTTTTTAAAATTATTATGAGCTTGCAGTTTTTCGGTTTAAAAAAAGTGGCTGAATTTCTTTTAATGGCGGTGAACGGGTGGCACTCTCCTTTCCTCGCACACGTGGGGATTAGCGACTGTAGCACAGGTAAAGTTAGGTATTTCTTGATAAAGAAACGAAGGACCAGGATTTCTTCCAAAAATGTATTTACAAACGTGTACAAATTAACAGATCTTAAATGTTTAAATAAATGGCTTAAAAATGCAATGGAATACGGAAATTTTTATTTGATGTGATTTTTGAATGACTTTTTTATGACATCTTTTTTCTACTATGTTTTTTTATATATAACAGGTGTAACTTAGTAAACCGTAGTCTATAAGGGAATACAATAAATAACAACTAAAACTATGTATTTGGGACGAAAGAGTTTGGGACCAAACAGGCGGTTAGCCGTTAATTTAGTATATTCCAAAGTATTACATTCACAAAACACTTTTAATACAGAATATTTTTGTAGAAAAAAATCCAAATTTTGTTTTGTTTTCGAATAACCTACCTTTACTTTGTTATTTCTTATGGCGGCTACCTTCGATTTTTATATAATAATATTACCCCCTAAATTAACTTTTAAATAATGCAACATGCCCTCCATATTTTTTAGAAAGCCCATTAAATTAATAAAAAACTTATATTTCTCAAAATGACACGGTAAGTATGTTTTGGATAAGAAATTATAACGGATTCATAATTATTTTATAACCAGCACCATCTACAAATATAATTAAAACAAAAATAACAACAAAATATAATTTTATTTTGTGGAATTTGTGGAATTTGTGGTTATGTCTTTCCAACTCGAATTGAGCGCCAACTGAATGTAGTTTATAAATCCAGCTTAAGACTGAGCTGAGCTGAGCTAAACAATGGATGTATCTTATAGTGGTATCAGAAGTTTTTTTAAATGATTTGATAAATAGTGAATTTTTTGTAATAAATGTTTTTTATTGAAATTGGATCCATTACAATTTATTTGGTCACTTTTTGAAGATGACATCGACCTCCGGACGCCACACACAAATCGGCCTGTTTTTTCGGCATTTTCCATCACATTTTAGAGTGTTTCGGGTTGAATGGCAGCGATATCTCAGCGTATGTTGGCCTTAAGTTGTTGAAGAGTGGCTGGTTTATCGGTATACACCTTTCCCTTCAGGTACCCCCACAGGAAAAAGTCAGGTGCGGTCAAATCTGGTGAATGAGCCGGCCAGTCGAAATCGCCGTATTTCGATATTAATCGATTCGGGAACATGACGCAATAAATCCAGTGTTAGGCCAATAGTCGCCCATGTCATGTTCGTTCACCTCATTTGCCACAAAATCGCGTAACATGGCCCGATATCGCTCGCCATTGACTGTTACCGTGGCGCCGTTATCGTCTTCGAAAAAGCACGGGCCGATGACCCTTTTAGCATAAACACTTCACCAAACAGTGTCTTTGGGGGAATGCAACGGCACTTCGAAGATCATTTGAGGATTTTCAATGCCCCAAAAGCGGATATTTTGCATATTAACAACGCGACACAGCATTAAATGTGCTTCATCGGTCATGATCAAACAGCTCCAAAAATCAGGTTGACCGGCAGGATGTCCTGCATATTGCGACCGTATTGGATGCGACGCGGCCTATCAATTGGCAATAATTGTTGAGCGGTCTGCATTTTGTAAGGAAAGGCGCGCAAATCCACCTTTAACAACTGCCACATGGACATGGGGGACATGCCAAACTGCTAAGCACGGTGTCGGACCAGAACCTGTTGACGCTCCGCGACGTCGGCACTTACGGCTGCTATTGCTTCCATATTCCATCTGGTACTCGGCTTATTCCGACGGACAGAGGTTGCCAAAGATACTGTGGCATTAAATTTTGCAACCAAAGCACGAATAATCTTCAGGGTAGGTGCATTCTGGCCACGATACCTCGCTCTGAACGCGCGTTGAGTCAGCGTAACAGAGGAGTTTTTTAAAAATAAATTTTTACAATTTCAGCACGTTGTTGTGGTGTAAGGTGGTTCATTGTTAAAATTGTACTGGACTGACGTTTCTAAAACTTTAACAAACATGGGGATCTACCAAAGATATCGGATAATAGATACGCCTTGTATACATTACATTTGTCCGCTACTTTTTTTTGACGGTACGCTCTTCCTATGTTGTCAGATCTCTTTCATCAAATATCAAACATTAAATTTTTATTTAAAAAGTTACTATTACCTTTAATACAATCTAATAAAAAAAGGAAATAAAGAATTGAAAGCATCAATATGAGTTTTCTATTAATTGCAATCACTTAAGACTTTTAAGTATCTATTTTTACATGTGTATCATATGGGAATATTAAACATTTTGGTATAAATCATTTAACTTTGGCAACCTAAGACATTTTGCTGATGTTGTCAAAGTGACAGATCAAGTTTTATTGTGATTTTTGTGGATTTTTGTAGTTTTCAAGAATAATTTAAACCCTGAACTTTTTATTAAGGACTTTTACGATGGGGAGGAAATAAATAGTGTGCCGAAATACGCAGAATAAGAATGTTATTCGGTCATTTCATAAATAAGATTATGTTAGCATAGACGTAGGCATATACAGGGAATAAGGCTTAATTTATTTAACAGTGTAAAGGCATTTAGCACTAGCATTGTTTATTTAAATAATAATGTTCTATATTTTCTGATCAGGTTTCCTAGAGAAATTATTCAACGTAGAATTTGGCTGCAAAATCTATGCTTGGTGGAGGAAAACATTATGAAAATGAAAGAAGCCTTAGTATATATTCTGACCATTTTTGTATGGCAGATATTTATGAAAATTTAAGTGGTAGACACATATTAAAACATAATGCTGTACCTATCAAGTAAGTACAGTATTTATTATGGGTATTTTTATTATATCTAAGCTCTAAAATTATACAGTAATCATCACATTTTACAGAATTTTGGGAGAGGTAGTTGAAGAGGCGAAAAATGAAGAAAAAAAAATACTTTTTTTTAGTGCAGTTCGTAACGGATGCTTCAATAACAATCTCACATGGAGATTGTTTCAAAATTGTTATAAAAAATTATTAATTCATAATGAAGTAAAGTCAAATAAAACTGCCAATAATGTAATTGCTTTAGATGGCACCAGCATCTTCGATTGTAGCAACACTAGTAGCCAAATTGCGTTAAATTTAAAATGTTACGAATCAGACACTAAAGAAAATTTGAAATTTACAAATGAGCTTCGTGACCATGATTACCTATCTATATATTTTCTGAGCGAATACATTCAGGATGTAGTTGCTTATATTTCTGGTTTTATAGTAAAATCCTTAAAGAAAAAGATTCACTGCAAACAGTGTTCTGCAATTGAACCAGTGAGTACGAAAACCGTACAAGTCTCAAATTTGACATTTCAAAATAAGCCATTTCGTTTAAAATTTGTCTCTTCATCAGGCGAGTTCGGATAGTCAGGGGCTGGAGCGGGACAAATTTTAGGGTGCTTTTCAATAACATTTAAGCGTGTTAAACCGTCACTAATCGGACTAAACCGAACGCTAAAAGGGTCGTTTGGAGTTAAAAGTGTTAAAGGAGTTAAAGGAACTTGGCAGACCGAACGCAATGATCGATGCACTATTTCAGTGATGATGTAATTATGGTTCCACTGACAATTAAAGTGACAGTAGATTTTTGGAATGCGTTTTGTTTACCTAAATTATATCGTTTTTTTCACTTTTATAAATATATTCCTAAAGTAAGTAGATAGCATGTATCAAATATACAATCGTTTAGTTACCAATTATATACCTTTAAACTATTTTTTATGACCTGTAAACAATATTTTGAAATAAAATAAAAATAGTAAAAACGTATATGTTAAATTTATTGATGTTTTTGTTAAAAGTTTGGTTAGAATTAAATGTCAGTCGAACCAAAATGACATCACACTGAACTAGCGCATTGAGCTTAAAAAACCGTACTAGATACCTAGCTGTTAATGTAGTACAGCTGATTATACCCGTGAAATTAGGTGAAAAACCGTACGTATCTGCGACTCGTACGGCTTTTCATCTCAATTACAAAATAATGGTCAGTTGATATGGTCAGTTGGAAAAACACAAATACTGAAAATGAAAATTACATAACTGAGATAACAGTTTTGATATTGTATTTTTCCTCCTTTTTGAATAAATATAAAATAAATCTTTTCTCATCGACAGACTTTCTGTCTCAACTGTCAAAGGTGCTACTTTCTGTTCTTAATACACAAATAGCTATTTTGTCTTTTATTCCAAAATATTCTTTACAAAATATCAGTTATCTTATAACACTAAATAAATCTATTGAGCAGATTCTTCACCAAGAGTGTTTGTAGGAGTAATCATGATAGTAAAATGACATTCGAAATGTCACAAAAGAAGCTTCCTTTAGTGTTTTTTCTATTCGGACAAATTAGAAATAAAGTATCTCTTGATAATCTTAAGCTAATGTGTTTTAGCCTTGTCCAGATATTATAAAATCATTGCTGATTACTGTCCTAAATGAGTTATTATATCATTACACAAATAATTCTAAAAATAGGTGTCGTGACATGCAACCCAAATGGTATGTAATAGAAAGATCATATTTGTATATTTATGTATCTGAAATAAAATTGTTCTGTTTTTAATAGCTTTTTATTTCATAAAAAAAAGGTAGTCCGGCAATATAATTATTCTTTTTTCGACCTGTAATAAAGGTTTTCAAACAGTACCCATGTAAAAATAATAATAAATGGCTTTATATTTTTACTTGCTCTTTGCTCTTCATGTATTTAAAAAAATATATATAATAAAATACTAACAAAAATGTTCTTCC